GGGTAGGTAGGAGCCGCGGTCGGGCAGAAGCGAAGGGAGCCGAACTGCGCTGAGCTGACGGCCTCTCTCGCTGCCTCTTGCTTTGCAGAGGATCGGGCTGCAGCTGCGCGCCACGCTGGAGAACATCACCCGGCTGCGGGCCGAGGGGGAGGACTTCCGCTGGTACCTCAAGGTGCGGCGGGGCGGGGCGGCCTCGGGGTCCTGGGGGGCTGGGAGACGCCGCTCTCGGTGTTCAGAGCCCGTTAGACCGTCCAGCGGGGTGCCCGGCGAGGAAGGGCGGTGGTGGTGAATGTGGCATCGCCCAGCTTCAACAGCGATGTAGGTTTTTCCACACGGTGCGAGCAGGCTGCGACAGGAGCAACGAATGTGGTGACAGACGTATATAGACGTGTATGCTTTAATGCATGCTTGACATTATATATTGGTTTGCAGTAATGGAATGTCTCAAGTTCAGGGGTCGGGCAGTGCCTCCATTGGTGAGGTGGTTGGTAACCCAGTGTCCACGGGCAGGTAGGTGAAGGGCGAGATGCGCTGTTCCCGTCTTTTATCTTGTGACCCCGCTTTGTAACACGTTTCCATCCAACGCGCCGAAGAGCAGATCCTCTGCAGTGGGCAGACCCACCGGGTCGAGGCAGCTCATAGGGCTGTTGAGACAGATGGCAACTGGTACCTGCCACCGGCTGCTCTTGGCTGTGAAACAGTGGGGACTGTGGATCTGGAGGGCTCACATCATTTCCTGCAGCTTTTTAATCCCTGATTATTGACACCTTTAAATTCTCTGATTCATGTTTATTTTTCAGCTGAAATGTGGGAACTGTGGTGAAGTTTCTGAAAAATGGCAGTATCTGCGATTGATGGTATGTTTCCTTGTTGTAACCTGCATCAGAACAAAAATGGGAAAACAAACCTGCGTTTTACACAAAGGGATATTAGCATCAGGGATGTGACGACTTGCACTTTAGACGAGATAGTATTTTAACAGCTACGTGCATTCAGGAAGTGCTGTCATATTCCATATTAAAAAAAATATTTGGAGACTGTTAATAGAAATAGGCCAGTGGAATGGTGACTGTTGGTGACAAAGTATTTATCTCCGCTTTGAAAAGCTACCTTTTTGTAAAAATATCATTTGCAAACAAATTTTGAAGTGATATCAGAAAAAGGTTGTGCCTGTAGCATATTTCGCTGATGCTGATGGAACCTTTTGAGAGAAATTTAGGTAATTCAAGATGAGTTAAGCATGCTAAATTAGCATTTGGAAACTGAAAAAGCAGGATAAAATTTCTTAGGGCTAAGAGAAGGTTCTGTTCTTAGGAATAATCATCCCTTTTTGCTGCATACTACTGAATGGTAAGAATGTATTTTGAGGAATTAATAGAACATGCCAATATGGACAAGACATAACTATCCATTATTAACTATTTTAAGTCTCGAACAGAATTATTCTTTGATAATCAGAGCTTTTTGAGTTACAGATCTCTCTAGTTTAAAAAAAAAAAAAAAGCCTTCTCCTTGCAATATTTTTAAAAAGTTAAAGATCACTGTTGTAAAAACTGTTTTACCTTTGCAGAGGTTTCCAGTGGCTCAGCTACAGTGCAGTTAAAAATGTCTCTGTTGTCATGGTTTTTAGGACAGTGCTCCCCTGAAAGGAGGCAGAGGAAGCGCCACTATGGTTCAGAAATGCAAGCTGTGCTCCAGGGAGAACTCTATTGGTATGTGCTTAGAGATTTAAGAGGCATCATCCATTTTACACATTTTCTCCTAAGTTTATTTTTTTGTCCCCATTTTCACTTGACACTGTTTGTAAAGAGCATTCACTAGGGATTTTTTTCCTCATACACTGGTGCTTGAGTTCACAACAGGTATATACTTGTCATCATACTCATGAAAGAAACAGCAAAACCTCCTGGTGAGTTCAGGTTTCTGCATGAACAAGACTCATACCCATAATGTCATTTTACAAAAGCACGCAGTTTTTTTTTTTTGCATTGTTAGGGTAGCAATGGTGTACTGAAAACTACTTGGGAGAAATGAGAAAAATTGAATTCTACCTTTTGAGGGCAAACTGCAGGAACTGCGTGGTTACTTTTTTTCTTTCACTTTGTATCAGGAAATTTCTTCCAAAGATGAAGCTGGTGCTTGGTTTGTGCTGTATAAAACTGAAGACATAATGCCACTCGCTTTTACACTTCTGATTTTTTTTTTTTTTTAGATATTTTAAGTCAGACAATCAAGCCTTACAATGTAAGTTTGTTTTCTCTTTTATATACAAGTGAAAGATTAAGCATTAATAATATTTTGAGGTTTTGCTTTATCATGACATTCCTCTTTCAAGAACACAAAAAGCTGATATTCTTCCCTGACAGAAAATTGTCTCTTGTAGACTCCTGCACACAGTCTCAAGTGTAGAATAATCTCTTGTAAGAAAAACACAAAGTTGTATCACTCCAATTAGAGGTGATTGTATAATGCCCGTATTACTTTCCTTTTTAAGGCTTCCATGTGGCAGATTAAGAAATTCTAGTTAATTACCACCTATTAAATGAGACCTGGGATTTTGCTGTCTCTTGGGACATCGGAGTTGATAATACTGCCTTTAAGGCAATTCATTTCTAGACTAATGCTTGTCACTGTCTATTAGATGAAAACTAACGGATTCTGACTGAATTACAGGCTGAAGACAGCGAGAAATTCAAAACGATAGTGGAGTTTGAATGCCGAGGTCTGGAACCGGTTGACTTTCAACCACAGGCAAGTTCTTATTCGTGATTTGTTTCTCAGCTTTTAAAAGCTCTTCTTACATAGCTCATTCTTTTACTTCATTTGACTCCAAAAAAAAAAAACGCAAACCAATGCACAAGCAGCTGACACTAACAACTCTGGTATTCTTTGTGCCAGTAAAATCTAAAATTAAACACGGCTGGGAGTTGTATTTGAATTGCTTTACAGGTAACTCAGCACTGCTCATCTGAATTCAGTTGAAAGATCTTCATTGCTCAGGTTACTGCAAAGGGGAGTTCCACGAGTGCGTAACTAGGCAGCCACATTCAGGAGAGCACCACTTAGCTTCTTGGTGTGTTACAGAGAGAAACAAATATTGGCATTTTTCCATTTGAAACTTGGTCAGACAAAGACTGAAGATCAAGGGCAGTTAAAGACAGCTGCAAAGCACACCTCAAGGTTCAGAGTTAAAGGATTTCTTCAGGGCCAAGCCAGGCTCCAGTGAGTCATTTGCTTGTGCATGGTCATGCTATATGCAAGCTAACTCCCTACTATATTTAACCTATTATTCCAGTCGGATTAGGTGTAAATAGACTAACGAATATAAACCTGCCTTATCCTTCCCTCAGACTGTGACACTGCTAAGAAACAGACCAAAAAAGCTGATCCTACAAAGAATTTGGTATAAATAAAATCACCACTGCAGTATGCTGCAGGAGGTCATCTTTTATTTATTTATTTATTTATTTGTTTTATTGAAGTGAAGCCCATCTTTTTGAGGAACAGAATGGTTATTGGTTTATTCCTGTTCAAAGCTTTGCAGCCAGACCTAGGAACTTGCACTTCAAGAAAAATCTATGAGGAAACTACAAAATGTAGGAGATGTTTATTGCTCTGCATCCTAGCTGTCAATTTTAATCTGCAGAACAAACACTTCACAGCTGTAATAAAGCTTTTCATTTAATATTCTCAAAGTGTGGTCTGTACACTCAGTTGGAGAGCACACTTGAATCTCTGAGCAGCCATTTCGGTGAATTTTGTGATGCCTAAATGGGTAAATATGTGGACTTCTGCAGTTCCAAACAATTCTATAAACTGCTTTATCTCTGACATGATCCAAGCCAGCCTGCCTTCTTCAACCTTAGGTTGGGCTTTTGATTAGCACCAAAGAGAATTTGCCATAGCATTACTGTATTTTCTTTGTATTTTTGGATAGGCATAATACAACCACACCTGAAGTAAATTTATGGTGCCTTAATACTTGCATGTCTTATTTAAATTACAGAAATTTTTCTCAAAAAAAAAAATCATTTGACTCTGAAAGAGGAGAAAGTATCCTTTGATTCTCTGCTATAATCCCTCTTTTCCTATCTACCAGCAGCAACAAATTCACACTAGGTATTTGTGTGTTCTAATAATGGGCAAGGACAATTTTTTTACCCAATTACTTATCTTTCTTGTTTACTGCGCTTAAGCAGATACATCTACTGCCAATCTGATATACAGTTTTTGGGTTTACTTGAGGATAGTTCAGCTCCTTTCCCGTCCTTGTCCCTCAAGTGAATACTTCAACTAAAAATTGGAGGTTTCTTTATAAGACGTCTCTTAAACCTTCTTAAACTTCTTTGCTTTGTGGCACAACCAATAGTTTCATTGGTAACAAAAGTGTGACAATTCACTGTGGTGTAAAGTCAGCAGGCATTTTTGCTTCTTTGGTGTGTTGATGCTTTAGCTGTTGGTGCTTCGCCCGTCAGCAGAGGGCAGACAAGGCACTGCCTGCCCCAGCTCCCTGCTGCAGGGATTAAACGAGTCGCTGCTCTGACGCCTAGGCTGTAAGAATGCAAGTCCTGCTGAGTGTGGTATAGAAGCTTGTAATTCCAGTCACATGGCTTCTTGTTCCTTGGAGTGCTGGTGAATACCTCCAGGTGGCAAAAGCAGGGCTTCTTTTATTTTTCTACTATTTGTTCTATACTGCAGCTCTGCAGTTTTGTCCCATGTTGCTGATCTTCCTTTCCACCCCAGCAGTTCCCTTGAGACGGGCTGCTTGTGCCTTGCAGATAGCTCTCCTCTGTTGTTACCTCTGCCACACTCAGTGGTTTATTTAACTCCCAGGTGCTTAATCTTCCATTCAAATCCCAAAATATTTTAAAATCACGTGCCTTACTTCACACATTCTTACATGGTTAAATACCTGTCTGGCACTAGTGGGGATTTCTTTATCAAAAATGCAAGTGGAGATCCCTTGCAGAAAACCAGGAAGATGCTACCTTTGCTTTGTAGCCACTTCTTAATAAAATTCTGTAGTTAGAAATGGTGATGTAAGAAACTTTCCTGTATGCTACAGAAATAGCTGAGATTTTTAAATTTACTTTTAAATCTAATAAAACTTAATTAACAGCTTGGTAACTGTGAACCCTAAAATGAGAGAGCCCTTCCTACAGAAGATAAAACAGAACACCCTGTTCTTGTGCTATACCCCACTGAAATGCTACTTCCTTCCTAGCGCTGTCCTTTCCTTCAACTCATTAAAACCAGCAACAGGAACAACAGTGAAGAACTCTCCCCTTTGAAATGATTGTTTGGGTATACTGATCTGTTAATTCAGGCAGCTGATCCGCCTTCCACCTAAGGCTTGCTAGTCACTTCTGTACCTAAATCTAATAAAAGCTGCTCCTTCTCTAGAGGGTCTTGGATTCTGACAACATTTAAGCCAAAACTATTAATTCTTTCCCACATTTTCATTCCATTGTTTTCTTGCAGTGTAAGTTTATTAAGCCATTTTATACTTAATGCCTGTATGGATTCTGAACACAAATTAAACTATCAGTAGCTACATAAACTTAGAAATTCAGGTTTAACACTGTCTAGAATACTCAGAAACAGCTTTTTGGCAGGAAAAATGGAGGAGCAGTGTTCCCTCATTTTACTCTGTGGTTGCTTAGATTGAATCTTCCCAGCTCACAAACAGGGTCACAACCTTACACTGACCCTTAACCAGGAAAGAGCTTGACCATTCTTTCTACCTAATTTAAAAGAAATACAGTAAAAGTTTGTGCTGAGTTACTTTCTTTAAGCATGTTTCAATGATTATATTTATTATTTTTTTGGTACAACTTGCTCTTAAAAACTTACTGCAAATGTGTTTGCAGGCAGGGTTTGCCGCTGAAGGTGCAGAATCTGGCACACCTTTCAATGACATAAACTTGTTAGAAAAGGTATGTTGTCTTGGTTTCATTAGTAAATCTAATTATCTAGCTTT